TGTGTGTGTGTGTGTGTGTAGAAAACCTTCCCGCTACTCAGCGACTTGAGTAATTATATCTTCCATTAATTTGCATATTATATAGAAATATACGTATTCCAGTCATTTATTTATTAAATCTAGGTTTTCGTTATCAACCTATTTTTTTCGACATTTAAAGTTTAGTACTTTCGTTTTTTAGCAAATTTTTGGTTTTCTTTTATTGTATTTAGTTTTTTGTTTCACATCCTCCCGTTAAAGAAAATTACGGGTATTATGGAACACTAGGCTTGCACACACAAGTGGTACACAGGAGAGGAGGTGTACAGGGGTGCACATAATCTGGTACCCATTGGTGGCACATAGGAGTGGTATTCAGGAGCAGCACACTGGTGTTGCACACAAGGGTAGCACATAAAGGGGGTAGCATATGCGAGGTAGCACACGGGGCTGGTCTAGAGGGGTGCTACATAGGAGTGTCACACTAAGCGGTACTTAGTGGTGGCGAACTTGGATGACACCTGGATTCTACACAGGGGTGAGACATGGGAAAGTATCACAGTGGGTGGCACAGTAACCGCCCTCACCTTGGGTGGGAGGGATGAGAGAGGCCACTACTTGTATCTGAGTGATCAATGCGGAGCTGCGGGAGCAGACTCCCATAACCCAGAGCGGTACAATGAAGAAGGCCAGAAACACCACTGGGGTCAGAAAAGGGTTTCACCAGTAGGGAGAGGAAAGGGGCTCTCTATCAAAAGAACAGTATGTCATCAATAGTACACTCGACGACTCAGTCATATCTTATGCCTGGCTTGTAACATGAGCATGTCATATGGGACACTTATTTTCTTAAGGGTTATGAAAAATGGTAATATTTCTAGCGGCAGAATACGTAGGAAAAAATGCAAAATTCTTTATATGAAATACAGGAATAAATAAGGACCCAGCAAAACTCAAAAAATGGTATGCAACAAAAACATCGCCAAAATGCGAAGTATAAAGCTATGAGAAGTGGCTGTTAATTGGTTAGACCATACCACTGGTGAGGTTAGAACCCGCGATCAGAGAGTCTTAAAACTCCAGACCGACGCGTTAGCCACTAGTTGGATGAATCTTATTGTGGTTAGCTGGCCCAGTGACTAACGCGTCGGTCTGGAGTTTTAAGACTCTCTGATCGCGAGTTCTAACCCCGCCCCTGGTATGGTTTGTTTGCAATCGTGTCATTACGATTTCGTGAGTCATGTTGTTTGGTTAACTTGTAACACGCTTTGGAAGAGAGAATTAAACGTGTCTGAAAAAAAACTGGTGTTAATATCTAAAGATAAAGATAAAACGAGGAAGGGATAAGCAACGCAAGAGAAGTTCCTGTATCAAGACCCACACGAGGATATGAATCAGATAAACCTTGTTGCCAACAAGGGTGAGAGATCACAAATTCTTCTTTGGTATTGAGAACTTGCCTTTCAGAAACAAAACAGGAAATTTACGCAAATAGGAAGAGTAGTCATAGTTGACAAACCGAGGGGGGGGGGAAGAACTTTAAGGACCGTGATCGTTACTGAATTACCTTTACTGACGGGCCACTAATGTGGTAAATAACTTTATTTTTAACGGATGACATTCTCTATTTCGGATTCTTCCGAGGAACCGGAAAATGATTATCAACAGTAAATCTCTCTCCATGTAAAAAATTACGTTTAGGATATTAACACTCAGCCAGAGATAGTTTCTTACTACACTCCCGGGGAAACACCAGCCACGGTAAACAGGTTAAACAAAAACGTCCGCGCTGGAGATAGACAAACCACGGAGTTGAAGTTGCCAGCAAACAGTCTCTGCCCACACTTCAAAAGATTGCTTTAGCAAAGAAAGGATGACAGTTCCACAGCTTAAAATGAGTTGGACATGCTGACGGACAGAGATGGAAGTAGCAACTGAACCAACATTTTGGTCAGGACGAGTCTCAGATATTTCGTACAAGGAAAATTGATCGCCCATTGTTTTAAAGGTAATAGTTGTGTCACAGAAGACAGGAAAGTGAGCGTAAGTTTGTTGTTGTCAAAGATTCCTCCCGATGTACTCTTTTGAAGCTAAATAAACCCACGACTTACTAGTGTAATTATTTAGTCTGTTAGGTTTAATGACCCTCGACTCCAGATTAGACATTACGGCCGTAATTCACCAGTACTTTAATCAAAAAATTATATTACACTCAGTGAAAATACACAGATACACACACCTCTCAGTGTATATACTGTATTGGGCTGCTAGCGAGGCTCTTGTATGAGTCGTTTTCTGAAGAGGAAAAAATATTGATCCTGAAGTAAACATGGGTGGAACTTTGTGTTGACCAGGCAGATGCGTGGGCTGTAGCATCACCTGAGTTGACCAGGCAGATGCCGGGGCTGCAGCATCACTTGAGTTGACAAGGCAGATGCGTGGGCTGCAGCATCACCTGAGTTGACAAGGCAGATGCGTGGGCTGCAGCATCACTTGAGATGACCAGGCAGATGCGTGGGCTGCAGCATCACCTGAGTTGACCAGGCAGATGCCGGGGCTGCAGCATCACCCGACAGCATAACGATAAAAGTTTCCAATAAAGAGGCTTCCGGTAAGGAAAGACTTTAATTGTTTGGTTTCAGTAAAGAGATCCAGTAAGGAATGTAAGTACTCTTGAGTTGTGGTACCCTCGCCATTTCTATCATGGAAAAAAATTAATTAAAATATAATGAAATTCATTTTTTTTCTAAATTTCTGTTAGAAAAACTCCATCGGAAGATCTAGATAACCAAAATAAAGACTGATCATGAAGGGTAATTCGGCCCTGGCGCTCCTTCGGTAGAGATCCAGTCTATCAAAAGGGCTCGAGATTAGGGCTTCTTGTAATTGTAAAATCTAACAAATCACAAAACTCTGCATATATATCTGATGTATATGACATATGATTATGTATGCAAAGCCATAGTATATATTTATGCAAATATGTATGTGTTTGTGAGTATATATCACAGTAGGTATGCACTTAATATTTACTTCAGTCGCTATTGGGTATTAAAGAGCCGTGAACAGGCGACAGGCAGTTAACTCTCGTGTACTCAAAATTTAAAACCAAATAAATAAATTTAACAAGGCACCATACCACCCAACACAGGTCGGCGCTGCCGTGAATGACTTCCCTGGCAGGATGAAGCAATGACCCGTTAAGGGATACTCAAGACAGTGGCGCCACTTCTTCCAGTTACTTACCATAAACCTGCTTCCAGTACAGTCTGTTGGCTCTCTCTCCCCGCCCATCTTACCCACCACAAGAAGTACATGCTTCGGAAACAGCAGGGGAAAGAGAACGTTATATTTATGATAGTCATGATCACAATAAATTCCGTAAAGAACCATTCAACGCTGTAAAACACACGAAGTACATGGATAAGGAAAGTAGAAGTGGAAAGTGAGAAGTAATTAGTATGAAAACCTAAGCAGCAAGACAACAACACAGTTAATAGCAAGCATGTTTCTTGAGCAACAATGGGGCATCAACCACACCATTACCATCACGTCTCTTCAATATGTATCATCAACCACACTATCACTCCAAAGTATCTTCAACAACTATGTAACATCAACTACATAATCACCACTTCAAAAACAACACCGTTATATCACCAACAATTATGTATAATCAACCACATCACCACCACTAATCCCTTCAACATCTATGTCAGGGGTGATTAACTTTTTTGCTGCTCTGTATCCCTTCGGCATTCTGACATTTATTAAACACCTTGAACTGTTATAATGTAAATAATCATGACTAATGAGTAAAAGCACACAAAACTTGTCAAAAAATATTAATACGAGAGGAAACTTAGCAAATGCACAATGAATATCATGTTCATTTAGGCTAAACATTAGGAGGAGGTGTGGGGTTATTAAAAGTATTATCCAGAGGACTGAGGATGGATTATTGAGGTAGTTTAGACGTTTAGAGAAGATGGAGCAAAATAGGATGACTTAGAGAACGTTTAAATCAGTAGTGGAAGGAAGACGGGGTAGGTTAAAGGGTAAAGATGGTTTTGTGTGCGAGTGGTTTAGACATCCAGCAAGTGTGTGTGTGTGGTGTGTGTGTGTTAGAAAGGAGTAAGTGGGGGGCAAATGGGTTTTATGACTTAATGTGCCGTTGGAATGTGAGCAATGTAACATTTATGAAGGGATTCAGGGAAACCGGTTAACCAGACGTGAATCCTGTAGGTGGAGAGTACAGTACCTTCACTATGAAGCAGGGGTGGGGGATACTGCAGTTGGTGTGCTGTGTTGGTGTGCCTCTGGCAAGACGTTTATGGAGTAATGGTTCAAGTTTTATTTTCTGTTTTTCGGGGTCACTTTGCCTAGGTGGGAGAGGGTCAGTGTCTTAAAAACATATTAATATGTATATATACGTCGTGCCGAATAGTTAAAACTTGCGATTTTGGTTTAAATAGCAACGCTCTTCTTGCCGAATAAGGCAATCGAAAATTTATGTATACAATAATTTCGCAAAAATCATTCTGAACCTAACAAAAAAAATATATTTTATTGTGTTTGTTTATTATTAAATTATTGTAAACTTATCTAAAGTATATTTAGTTGGATTAGGCTAAATTAAATTGCGCTTGTTATAATAACGTTAGGTAAGTTTTCTAAAGTTCTTTTGGTACAAAATTATTAATTTTTACATTAACATAAATGGAAAAATATACCTTTAAACATAAAAGAAATTTGAAGGACTAATTTAAATGATATCTTGCTAATACCAATTTTCTATCGATATATATAATATATATATATTAATATATAACTTATATTTTAAATATATTTTAATATAATATATTTTATACTATATACAAAATACATATATATATATATATATATATATATATATATATATATATATATATATATATATATATATATATATATATATATATATATATATATATTATATATGTATAATGTAATAAGTAACATAATAACATATTTCTTTATAGGTATAAGCGTAAAGGCAGTACAACATAATATGGGAAGTAACGGAACACTTTACCACAATGATGTGTCACACTGTAAAGCTAAATACATACAATCTTTTATATAAGAAAATATGATGATCAGTGTTAATTTCAGACAGTGAAGTGTTTTGTGAGAATCAATGTTCACAGTTCAAGACTTTCAAGTTTGCGCCCAAGGAACTCCCTACCAGTTCACAGCGATGTGTCCTGCAGTGCGCTAAACACCTCCTGTTGGTGTTTAAAGCGCCAATGATCATCCATTCCCGGTGACACTTTAAACACTGGAGGAAGTAGAGCCTTCTAATAAGAAGGAAACGACCAAGCCGCGTTTGAAGTGGCTTCTTTCTTTACTATCAGTATAGAGAGAGAGAGAGAGAGAGAGAGAGAGCAGCCTCCTTGACTATCTTCTGCCAGAGAACAACGCTAACACCAGCAGTACTGAGGTACTTTAACCAGTAGACTGCCTCCGCTATGGTGCCGGAGGGTTGGTGGCTACCCTGGGTTCATCTCATCACCGTCTGCTGGGTCGGATCAGTTTCTGCAGGTGAGACAAGACTTGCTTTTTTTTTTTTTTTGCTCATGTCTTAACACGTAGGAATTCTTTTGCTGTGCTTCAGGATATGTATTGGCTATTGTATGGCCACGTAGTTTACCTAACCTTGGTGTGAGCTGGCTGGCGTTCCAAAAAAGAATGAATATATTGGTGCGAATGCCAACATTTCTGAGTGCCAACATTTCTGAGTGAGTGCCAACATCGCAGTGAGTGCCAACATTTCTGATTGAGTGCCAACATCGCAGTGAGTGCCAACATTTCTGATTGAGTGCCAACATAGCAGTGAGTGCCAACATTTCTGAGTGAGTGCCAACATAGCAGTGAGTGCCAACATTTATGAGTGAGTGCCAACATAGCAGTGAGTGCCAACATTCTGATATGAAATCCAAAATATGGGAGTGATTGCAAATCATATTTATACGAATGACCACAATTTGTTGTGAATGACACCGAAAATAAAGACGTGAAATATTAGTGTGAGTGCCACCACATTAGTGTGAGTGCCACCACACTAGTGTTGATGTGTGGGGGTATACCACCACATTAGTGTGAATGCCACCACACTAGTGTTAATGCCACCACATTAGTGTGAATGCCACCACACTAGTGTTAATGCCACCACACTAGTGTGAGTGCCACCACACTAGTGTGAATGCCACCACACTAGTGTGAGTGCCACCACACTAGTGTGAATGCCACCACACTAGTGTGAGTGCCACCACACTAGTGTGAATGCCACCACGCTAGTGTGAATGCCACCACACTAACGTGAATGCCACCACACTAGTGTGAGTGCCACGACACTAGTGTGAATGTCACCACACTATTGTGAGTGCCACCACACTAGTGTGAATGCCTCCACACTATTGTGAATGCCACCACACTAGTGTGAATGCCACCACACTAGTGTGAATACCACCACACTAGTGTGAATGCCACCACACTAGTGTGAATGCCACCACACTAGTGTGAATACCACCACACTAGTGAGAATGCCACCACACTAGTGTGAGTGCCACCACACTAGTGTGAATGCCACCACACTAGTATGAGTGCCACCACACTAGTGTGAGTGCCACCAAACTAGTGTGAATGGCACAACACTAGTGTGAATACCACCACACTAGTGTGAATGCCACCACACTAGTGTGAATGCCACCACACTAGTGTGAATGCCACCACACTAGTGTGAATGCCACCACACTAGTGTAAATACCACCACACTAGTGTGAATACCACCACACTAGTGTGAATGCCACCACACTAGTGTGAATGCCACCACACTAGTGTGAATACCACCACACTAGTGTGAATACCACCACACTAGTATGAATGCGACTACACTAGTGTGAATACCACCACACTAGTGTGAATACCACCACACTAGTGTGAATGCCACCACACTAGTGTGAATACCACCACACTAGTGTGAATACCACCACACTAGTGTGAATGCCACCACACTAGTGTGAATGTACCACCACACTAGTGTGAATGCCACCACACTAGTGTGAATGCCAATCAGTGACAATACTTCGTGTGAATGTGAACATACTGGTATGAAATCCATCGTTTTGGTGTGACAGCGAACAATTCACTTTAGGTTTCTGAAAAGGTTCACCGAGTCATGGGCTCCAGAGGGGAAAATCTGAATAATGAAAACCATTTCTCTCTAAATGAGGTAAAGAAATGTTAAAAGCTTGTCATGGGAAGAGATTCTGGGACTATTATTATTATTATTATTATTATTATTATTATTATTATTATTATTATTATTGTTATATTATTAAAATTATTATTAGTAGTAGAATTGTTATTATTAGTATTATTATCTATAATCACTTGGATCAAGACAAGTGATCGCCCATAATGAGATCGAGTTATTATAGACAATCCGTGAAAGTGGCTTTTAAAAAAAAAAAATACCACGGGCGAGGTTAAAACTCGCGATCAGAGTCATAACACTCCAGACCGACGCGTTAGCTACTGGGACATCGCACGAAAGCGGTAGAGAAGCTGCAACAACTGGCTAGAGTAAATATTCTGTTGTTAACATATTCTGCTGTTAACATATTCTGTTGTTAACCTATTTGCGCTATACCCGTATGGATTGTACATATTGCCTAAATTACAAGAGAATATGTATTAGCCGGGGAAGGTTGAAACATGTGCAGCAATACCCACGTACAAGGTAATGGAGGACGGTAATTACGATAGCAGGAAGTACATACACTATATTGAGTGGTAATGATTACAGGAAGAAGGAGCTGCTACCGTACCAGGAGGAAGAAATTATATTGGGTCACAGAGAAACCAGGTAGTGAGCGAATTCGATGGCAAGAAAGAAGTTTACTGTACACTCATAGTGACTGCAGTACCGTGAAGGTAGTATACCGTATAGTCGTATACAGTTAATGAATACAGTACCATGAAGGTGGTATACTGCATATAGTTACTGAACACAGAACCATGAAGGGAGTATACCGTATATACTTAATGAATACAGTACTATGAAGGTAGTACACTGTATGCATTTAGTTTATAAACTACCATGAAGATAGTATACTGTATTCACTTATTGAATACAGTGCAATGAAGGTAATATTCATGCAGAAAGAGTGCACACTGAGTTATAATGACGGTAGGAAGGAAGTACTGGTACAGAATGACAGTACCAGCAAGAGGAAGTACAGATACTGGCTGAAGAGACACCAGGAAACAGTTGTGATAATGGCTGTTACGATAACAGAAAGTAGTGTAGATATTGGCTGTTGCGATAACAGAAAGCAGCGTAGGTACTGGATGTTACGATAACAGGAATCAGTGTAGGTACGAGCTGATGATAATACCATTAAGGCAGTATATATGATGAGTGATAAGGATAGCAGAAGACAGTTTAAATAATATTTGATAATGATACCAGAAGACATTGTACTTAGCGATGGTGAATACCGCCCAAGTGCAACACTTGGGTATCTTCATTACTGAGACGTCTCGCTCATACAGCGGGTTTCTTTAGCCGTAAACATGAGAAAAACTGATGATAGTAGTTGTAGTAGTAGTAGTAATAATAATAATAGTAGTAGCAGTAGTGGTAGTAGAAGTAGTACTAGTGGTAAGAGTAATAGTAGCAGTAATAATAATAATAACAGTAGTAATAGTATAGTAGCAGTAGTAATAGAGTAGTAGTAGTAATAGTATAGTAGTATAACTGGTACTATTAAAAGTAGTAGTAGTAGTAGTAATAGTAGCAGAAGCAGTAGTCGTAGTAGAGCAGTAGTAGTAGATACTGAATAATTAGTTACCAGGTCAACAGTTTGATACTGAGTCGCAAAGATATCAGGAGTCAGTGTAGATGCGGTATGATAACACTAGGAGATGTACTTAGTGATAAGTATACCAAAATGTGGAAAATATATCGAATGGTGACGATACCATGAATGAAATATAGATGTTGAGTAATAGACATGTCTAAAAAAATGTATAGTTACTAAGTGATAAAGATAACTTTAAAGCAGTATGATAAAAATTACCATAAATGAAGCGAAGATACTAAGTAAATAAGAATCACTGAATAAGGAATGTAGATAACACCGAATTATAACGAAAGATCGAGAGAAACTCGAAAACTAAAACACAGGCAACAAAAACACAGAATGTAAGATAATACAAGACAAGAACATTGAAAGAAAGTGCACAGAAAGGAAGAACAAAGAAAGCAAGAGTAAAGAAAATAACAACACAGAAAAACAAAAATCACGAGGAGCCAGACTATGGAAAGCAAAAATACGAAAATAAAAAAAAAACACTCATATAAAACAGAAAACCATAATACAGAAAACAAGAAAATATAAAGCAAGAACATAAAAATAAGCAAGAACACATAGCAAGACTGTAAGTTTTCCTTCCTGATTTTTTTTCACTTTATTGTGTCGGGGTCTTGTCCACGGAAATGGGTTTGTGTAGATACGAGAACCAGCGTGCAAAAAAAAAAAAGGAATGGTTGTAGAATATGTGTGAGGGAAGAATATTGGATTCTCTGTTGAAAGCACAAGAAAATGGATACGAGAAACCTGTAATGCAGAGTCCTAGAAATATGAAAAAGAATTGTACTGTGCACAGAGAAGTGTTATGAAGGACGGAAGGGTAACAGCATGTATTGTTTTCTTTAAGACTGAGTGAAGACAACCAGTTTACCAGGAAGAAAAGTGTATTTGGAACTATGGTACATTAATTACTAGGCTTTGAATTACCCTCTCTATTCGTCAAATTAACATAAAATATTATTATTAGTAGTAGTAGTAATATGGGAAGTACTAAATCCGTAGGGATCTTGCAGTGTCTGGAGATTAGCTCCAAGTCCTTGAATCAAGGGCACTATAACAGCATCAAGGCAACTCCTTGCCGAGGAAGAAAACATGTTATTGCCCAGTTCCAAGCCAGTGTAATTGTCACTGTTGTATACAGAGGATGTATTAATTCCGTAAGGTTCGGCTCCTCCACATTTTCCTGATTCGAGTGTATGGAAAAACTCTTGGCCGGCCCCGTGAATTCTAAATATGAAAACACATTGCAGGAAATGGCTGGATCAACCTTATTCAGAATCTCTGAGGATTCTTCATGAAACATTTGACGATTTTGATAAGCTAGTGCTAAACTTTGTGCTATTTATGGAATGTGTTTTGGCACAATTTGTGTTACGTTTAGTTAGTATGTTTTGAAAAGACGAGAACTTAAAAAACATAATCTCACAAAAGAATCATTTTAAAACTGGAAGATATGGTGATTCAGATCATTCGTACATATGAATCTGACCTAAAAGATGTGCTCACACACACACGAACTGTGACTCGACCCCTGCAACCATAAACAGGTGAGTATACACACACTCACATCCAGTCATACGTTCACACCACACACATACACGGACAAACGATTTAGAGAGGTCTCAGTGGAAAAAGGTGAAACACTAAAAACGAGTAAGGGAAAGG